ATATCAGATGTGGTTTTTCAAACCCATTCTGGTTCTTTTGCAATTAAAACACTACAGTATGTGCTGGTGTGTAGCATTTGATTATATTACAGACACAGCAGATAGTGTGCTGTATTCATTAGCATGTGACCTCTAGAGAGGTTTTATATAGGAAAAAGCCCAAGTGGGCTCCAGCATTGACTGCATCCAGAATTTCAGCATTGCATAGCAATTTAACACTCTTTAATAGGTTTGCTGGATTGCAATCCAGAAATCCCCCATAGCTTTCAGTCTGCTAAAGCCCATCTCCCTCCCCTGTTTTTTTTATTATTATTATTATGATTATTTTACAACTTGCTTAGACTTCTGCTAACTGCTGCAGGTGAATTATAGACCAAACTGCGAAAATTAAATGGAAGAAAACCATAGTAAATTAAAAAGTCCAAATGAAGTCTTTGGGTTGCAAAATGACTGTCAAATAACAGATGATTTTAAACCAGTAAGTTCACTTGCTTCTTGGATCTAAAATAGCTGAAGTGTTACTGTGGCTTATCCTATAATAAATGTAAGTTTGTTGCACAATAAAGACTAATGTGGTAACTTCTTTTGAAATTCATGACTCCAGCAGAAGATCAAATTCCTGGTTCTTGTTTGTTTTCATCCCTGAGGCATTTAAACACATTTATTTTGGATTAAAACTGGAGTTAGTGGAAGTGGATAGAACTGGCTGGACCTATTTATAAGGTCTCCTTTCTCATTAGAGCTAAATTTTTATGGATTTCATGAGTGCACAGTGCCATTATGTAGAAATCTGGAGGCAGATATGTGATATCCCTAACCTCAAAAAGGTAGAAAGGTATTACAGATAACTAAACAGCAACAGCAGTAGTAGCATAATGCTTATATTAGGCATTATAAGTTAGCTTCTATAAACTTTAGATCCAAAAATTCAGGTTCCAAGCTGCTCTTAATGAAAATATAGTAACAGTACTATATCCTCAGCATGTTGATTATGCAACTTTTTAGTGGATTAATTGTAACAAATTAATCCAAAACACCTGAAGGCAGGACAAGAAGCAATGGATGGAAACTAATCAAGGAGATAACCAATTTAGAACTAAGGAGAAATTTCCTGCCAGTGAGAACAATTAATCAGTGGAATGACTTGCCTCCAGAAATTGTGGTAGCTCCAACACTGGAGGTTTTTAAGAAGAAATTGAACAACCATTTCTCTAAAATAGCAATAGTAATAGCACTTAGACTTATATACCGCTTCATAGTGTTTTACAGCACTCTCTAAGCGGTTTACAGAGTCAGCCTATTGCCCCCAGCAATCTGGCTCCTCATTTTACCAACCT